GTGTAAAAACTTATAAACCCAAAAGGGAAGAACATACACAGAATTTCTCAAGCTGAAAGAAAAGAAAAAATTCAAACCTCAACTTGCAACACTGAAGGTCTCCATAGGAGAAATAATGAATGACTCAGAAAGCATCCAAAGATGGAAGGTATATATGCAAAAGTACTATACCAAAAAGAAATGGTCAGTGTTCAAACATTTCAAGAGGTCCCATATGTTCAAGAACTGATGGTACTGAAGAAGTAGTCTAAGCTGCACAGAAGGTATTGGCAAAAACAAGGACCCAGGAATTAATGGAACATGAATTGAAATCTTTCAAAACAAATTGATTCAATTCTGGAGGTGCTCACTCATTTTAATAGTTAGGTTTCTGTGTCAACTTGACTAGGTCAGGATTTCCAGAGATTTAGCAGTTGAGATGTCCTCAATCTCATAGTGATGAAACCTTATACATGCATAGTTAACTCAATAAGAGGCTATGAGCAGCCAATCAATTGAAGGGATGCTTCCTTGAGGGTGAGGCCTGCTCCCAATATAACTGACATGACAAAAAGACTCTGTCTCTCTTCCAATGGGGACTTGGGACTATGAAATTATAAGCCATTTCCTTGATAATAAAATTCTCTTTATATATACATATATATGTTCCACTGGTTTTGCTTCTCTAGAAAACTTGGACTAAAACACTTATTTATGTCAAGAAATTTGGAAGCCAGCTATTGGGCCAACTGATTGGAAAGATCTGTATCTGTGCCCATTCCAAAGAGAGGTGACCCAACAGGATGCAGATTGAACAGTATCATTAATATCACATGCAAGTAAATTCTTCAATAGTAAAAAATAGCTTTAATTATACATCAACACAGAACTTGCCAGAAACACAAGCCAGATTCAGAAGAGGATGTACAACTAGGGATACCATTGCTGATGTCAGATAGATCTTGGCTAAAAACAGATTTATTGACTATGCAAAATGCTTTAGACTGTGTGGATCATGTGAAAGCTGGACCGTGAATAAGGAAGAATGTAGAAGAATTGATACTTTTGAGTTATGGTGTTGGAGGAGAATACTGTAAGTGCCGTGGGCTGCCCATAGAATCAATAGATCTGTGTTGGAAGAAGTGCAGCCAGAGTGCTCCTTGGAGG